TTGAGTCCTCGTTGAGTACACTTTTACTCTCACCCAGTCAACTAAACATCTTCCTATGTTTAAACATCACTTGCTTGCTAACCCTCGAGTCCATCACTTAACATTAATATCTGGTCACCTGACTAGAATTTATTTTCCTTTTCTTTTTTACTTAGATTTTGAAACACAGATGATCAAACCTTTCTTTTTCAATAAACTTAAATAATTATTGTGATCATAAGTTTTTAGATCTAAATTAATTCATTTTGAGTAACCTCAACAGATTATTATATTTTCCTTATCGTTTGAATGCATTTTATCTGAGAGGACTACTTCAAACATCTTCATTGCTAACATTATCATTATCGAAAATGAACAAAAACCAACTTGAGTCAATGTCATTAGGCTACTTAAGAGGCGAAGCTACACAACGTTCGAAAATTCTTTTAGAATTGATATTTTTTGTATATTTTGAATCTAATCTTATTGAATTTTTCTGCACAAAGATTGTGCAAAATTTAAGCAGCATCATGTATGCGAATTAAAATGAATGATACCTGAAAAGCTGGAATTTTACTGATTTTTATATCATAATGAATGTGTTGATTCAATTGAATAAAACTCACATTTTTAAATACATCTCTAAATGATGCCTTGAGTACAGCAGTAAGATGTGCTTTTTCAATCTTATCAGAGTGGTTCTTATTAAAATGTTGGCCTGATAAATTCACAATATTGTATCCTATGGAATGTAATGTCTCTTTACAATTTTTTTCAATCCAAAACAATTAACCAAAATAAGCCCTTAAAATACATTAGAAAAATGAGTTGAGTCCTTTTCTATTTATCTCTCATTGTGCATTTCATTTTTCCACATCATCAATAAAATTTGCGATCATTGCGTCATTAGATGCTTGATTAGGTGCATAGGTAGAGCGTGGACAGAGATTTGCGTGATTTACAGGTGAAAGAAGCTGTGTTGGGTTCAGTGTTACAATGTGTTTAGGCTGCTCTTGCAGTTGCACTTACCTGGATTTTGATAAAGGTTGTGTGGTAAAAAAGTTTCAATGAGCTATCTGGTCTGTTTGCACCTAACCTTACAATCCATTCATAAAAGGCTGATTTGGAAATCAAACCTTATCAAACACAGAATTAATCCGATTGCGAGCCTCGATTCGGGATGATAAGACAAATTCATAAAAACAAAGCACGAATTTCGATTCGTTTGCCCATATTAGACGCGTGCGATATTGTGCATTCAACTAATAAAAATGTGAGACTGGTATGCTCCTACAAATGCATAGATATTCTACTCATAACTCGAAAGGATAACCCTCTCACCTTTATCCTCGCAAGTGATATTAAATCGATCTCTCAAAATTCCCAAGCAATTCATGTAATTACACGCATTCAATTGTGTTACATCTCGATTTTGGATGGCTAGTGGTAGATGGCCTTGCTTTAAAGGAAGTAAGTAGCTTCGAACAAGGCTCTAACATTTTCTCAATCGAAGCATTTCTTGGATTTTGGATAATTGAGTTGCCAATTGTACGAAATTTTTGCAAAGTTTAAAGTCTTGTCAATGATTATGTGTGATTCGACAAAAAGTGTATTTATCTCAATGGTTATATCAGTTGACTAAAGTTGATTTAACTCTAATAAATATTGCATTTTACTTGGATTGACGTTTGAAGCAGGCATCTATTATTACACAACCTTGTATCTTGAAAAGGGTTGAATGCTGTATCTTGTTTTACCCTCCAGATGATTATTATTTTGAATGACTATAATGATTGAAGAAACCATCAAAAGCCTGTGTTTGCATAAAAAAAGTCATTTGTCAATTTTGGGCTTTCATTTTTTCTTCTTTTTCTTCATTCCTTTTTCTTGCCATAATATTATTGATAGAAAAAGTGACAGGGCAAGTTATAAGTTCTTGATGATGATGAATGTAAAAGATGATGAAGAAAAATATGAAAAGAAGAGAAAAAAATAAGATAAAAGTTATGTAAAATTCATTGAACGCGTGTTTATCTTCCTCTTTATACTTTTCACTCTTTTTGCTTATCCTTTCTTACTTTAACAAAAATTCAATCAGATCATCATCATCATCATTTTCATCCCTTTATTGATCAACAAAATTGTCTCTCTTTCTTTTCAACCAAAGATCATCATCATTTTAATATCAATTTTAATGACACTAACCAGGTTCTACCATTGAATTTAATGAGGATCGCAAAATTTTGTATCGATCTATTGTAATAACTTTTATCGAATACTTGATTGCAATTAAATCTTGATTCACTTTGTTTTCCTTTTCCCAATCGAGAAACACTTTTCAAGGCTTGTGTTTTTTTCTTGTAATAACATTAAACATTATTTGTTACAAATAAACTTTAATCTTGATTTTGATTCCCAGATTTACCTCATTGACAGTTAACCTTTATATTTTTGACTGGTAAAGGATTTAAATGTATTCAATTGCTTTCATAATCTATGTACTTTGCATATTCAAGTTTGTGTCGAGATTTACATTTTGTTTGATTTGTTATTCCATTTCTCAACCTTGATCAACAACTCAATCAAAATACAGCAAACAAAATAAGTTAATCGTCAATGAAAAAGAGAGACAAATAATAAACTGAAGCATTAAGTTGACAATATCAAGTTGTATGTTGTCAAGCAGGGAAAATAAAAAAGAGGCAAAAGGACAGAAAATCAAAAATTAAATTAAAAAATTGACAAACCAAGCTTTGTATCATCATCATTATGATAAACTGAAAATTCAATAAGCTAACATTTAGTTATGAAAGGGTAAACAAACGTTATTAACCAAGCTGGGAGTTGACATTCCCAGATATGATAGCAAACAGAGCAAAAGATGAAGAAAAAATGAAATGAACAATAAAAATTTATAAAAAAATGAAAACTATTGGAATTAAATAAATATGTTGAATGAACAGGAAAATAATGGCTCGTATTAAGGTTTAAAAAGGGGTCGACTGTGTGTTGCATTTGATGGGACAAGATTGACTTTGTTAGGTTGAAAGATTAATAACTGTCGGCCTAACCAGTCGGATATTACGCTATTCAGTATGATGGCAAACATTAAGATAATCATAAGTTTAAATTACAGGTGAGAATATTCATGCAAATGGTAGGGAAGGGAAAATGAAGATAATGAAGATAATGGCAAAGATGATGAAATCAAAACTTTGAACTACTGAGCAACTTGTAAAAGGGTCGACTATACATTAAATCTAATGGGGCAAGAGTGAGTTTGTTAGGTTGTAAGGTTGATGACTGTTGGCCTAATCAAACTCGCTCAGATATTTAAATGAATTATAATATTAGGTATGATGACAAACATGAAGATGAACATGAAGATGAATAAAATAAATGTAAAGGTAAGACTAATGATGCAAGTGATAGGAAGAGAAATGATGATTATAAAGATTATAAAGATAATTAAATTAAGACGAAGAGCAACTTGTAAAAAAGTCGACTATGCGTTAAATCTGATGGGGCGAGAGTGAGTTTGTTAGGTTGGAGGATTGATGACTTTGACCCAATCAAACTCACCATGCATTGAAAATGGTTTGATAAAAAATGAAGATGAATATGATGGTGAAGTTGGTGAAGATGATGAAAATTGAAGTACAAAGGGAAGTAAAGGGTAACTTTTAATTCAAATTTTAACATATAAAAAGCCTTTGTGTGTCTAAGGGCTTGATGATGTTTTCATCCTGAAAAACCTCGTTTTTTCTCTCCTCATCTTTTCATCTTCATTTCCTCCTCCTTGCTCCTCATCATCTTCATCATTTTCATCTTGTTGTTGTTGTTGTTGTTGTTGATGTTGTTGTATTCTCTGGGTGCTGATCGGGTATGAAGTTGAACATAATATAAAAGCAAATTTTCATTGGATAAACCATTGTGTCTACACAAGATGATGAAGAAGATGAGGAAAAATGTGATTGATGTTGCACTGAAATTTTATTGAATGGGATGATTAGTTGTACAGATGATCGAATGAGTTTTCTTTTTGACAAAAAAGAAGAAGAAGAAGATAATGATGATGAGGTAAAAAGGAGTAAAAGGGATAAATGATGATAATGTGAGGGTGACATAGGTATACATAGAAGGGAAAATGTTTCATACTTGAACCATCTTTTACTCTTTCGATTTATCTCTTCTTTTCTCATCTTCTTCTATTACTCACATAATTTTCTTATTACTTTGAATTTACTTTTTTACCACATCATTTTACATTTAAAACCCTTTTCTTTACTTTTTTCATGTCACTCTTTCTTCCATCATCCTTCAATATCCAAGGTTATTTTGCTGCTGTTTTGTTATTGTATCGTCTTTAGCATCAATTTTCAAGATTTAATGTTGACTTTGAAATAGTGGAAATGATTTGATGATGATGATGATGAGAAGGAGGAAGATAAATGAGTTGAGTTAGAGTATGATGATGTGAAAGGAGGAGGAAGAAGATGAAGAGGATTGAAAGGGATAAAGAAGACAATATCACTCCTCTTGTAAGTCCACACTGGGTTAAGTTACTCATACTTTTGTGTCCTCACAAAATTATGTGATTACTTTAATTTGTTTACAATGACAAAGGATGACACTTTTGTTTGCTATTAATATTAAAGTTTACTTTCCTCTTCAACTTGAATTACTACTTTAAAGCAACTGCATTTTTAAATTTCACAATTTAATCTTTTCTTTTGATTCGCATTTTTGTTTTTCCCTTTACATCAATTTAACTTTCTTTTAATTGATCATTTCATTTTGTCTTCAATTTAATTTCTTCAGACAAATTATATTTCAATCTTTTCGTTATCAACCAGGTTGGCGATGATATTTTTTTGGATATTTATAAAATGATCTTTTGAATTTAGCTTATTTTTCAAGTGTTTAAAGCTTCAATTGAGTTAACATTGATTTTGATTACTATTTTTATGCTCTTTGAATTTACCGGGCTTGGTTTTTTATGAGGTTTAAGGCGCCACTGGTTTGGGTTGAGTTTTTCTTGCTCGGTACAGCCCTCTGTTGATGTACCAGAACATTTGGGTTTAAATACATTAAATTTCGGTTTAGTTGAACAATCAATCTTATTGTTTAATTCTGTTTTTAATTTAAATCGTGTAATTCAAGTTAATTTACTCAAATGTCTTGTGCTCGTGGAAAAAATAAAGCAGGTAAAGTTTTTGGTTTATCGATCTCATAATCATGTCTCTTGAGTTTCTCATGTTTCACGTGTTTTTTGTGGCTGGATTTGAATTATGTTTAAATTAGTTAGAGGGTAAACTTTCTATTAATTTTCTTCCTTTTTTGAAATTTATTATATTTTAGTTTACCACCATATAAGGAATTTTGTTCACCTGGTCTCAACTCCTGTTGGAAATGAAAAAAGGAGGAAAGCAATTGGTAACATATTGTCTCCAAATAATGAATTCAATGAGAAGGAACTGATTGAAATATGGAAAGGATTGTATTACGCTATCTGGTACACTGAGGTTGCTAAATGTGAAGAACTTATTTATGATGTTGCGTATGGATGTCGCTATCCTAATGAAAAGGCCTATTTGATTGCTGGTTTCAAACTATTAGCTCGAGAATGGATGGGAATAGATTTTTATCGTGTTGACAAATATGCTTTGTTGGTTCGCCACATGGTCAATCGTAGCTTAAGGATAGCAATCCTCGAAAGCGATCCAAGAGATTTTGAATTTTTAGATGAAATTTTTCAAACTTCTCAAAAATCTGTTGAACTTTGCAACCACATCATTGAAGTTTATCTGGACGAGCTTAAAAATGTTACAATGCGACAAGTAATATGGAACCCTGAAGAAAAATCAGATGTTTATGTGAATGCCATCAAGCCTGTGATAAAGATAATGTCTACCAGTACCGACTCACGAGTTATGAGCACGATTAAGGAATATATTTTTATTGAAATGCAAGCATTTCTATCTTCTGATTGTGAATCTAAATGGCAGGACAGATTTTATCAAAATATTTTCAAAGAACTGCTCAATGCTGGTAAAGGAGAAGAAATTTGCTTAAAAAATCGTAAAGCACTTTTCGATACCGCCAGCTTATTTAAAGAATCCTGCTAATGTTGAATACCAACTGAATTGTTGAAACTATCATTGTAAATTGTTTTCTCATCGACCACGCTCTACACGCTTTAAAACTTTTCGAGATAAACTTTCATATTGTGTTGAATTAATTTTGCCATGTAAATTATTTAGGTGAATTCGGTTCTCGGCTACAGTTGAGCTTTTGAATTGATGTGGTATGTCTTATGTCAGACTCTTTAAGTACATTCTAACGATTTAAAGATCTGAAGAACGCTTCCTCGAATCCTCGGCATCGGCCAATCGTTTATCCTTGGCTCGACGATTTTGAAACCAAATTTTAACTTGAGTTTCGGTTAAGTTTAACGATGAGGAAAAGTCGGCGCGTTCGGCAATCGATAAATATCTTTTACTTCTAAACTTTATTTCCAACGCAATTAACTGTTGATTTGTAAATGGAGTTCTTGGCTTTCGATTGCTTTTGTGTTTCCGTAATTGACACTTGATTGTCGGATGTTCACGAAATGATGGAAATGCATATGAATGAAGCCATGGATGATGATGTGAATGAGATAGATTAACAGGTGAATTTGTTGGTGAGGTTGAGAGGGTTAATGGTGTTAGTGGTTGAGTTGGTGGTGTTGTTGGTGAGGTTGACTTGTTTGATAAAATTTGATTAATACCGAAAGACCGAAGCTCAAACTGAATTGTAAGATGGGAATTATGATTGACTTAGTCGGAATAGATTCTGTAGTTCAACGCGATTGCAAGCTAAGAACTTGCTCAATTCGTCCAAATAATTACGAAATTAATATTATTCGAGATGATTCAAGTTAACATAATATATATCAATTTATAAACAATTAGTTTGACGACTTACACAATAATCTAAATACAATGTACATACAACTAAATTAATTTAGCTAGACTAATTCAAAACATGATCATCTGGATAATCAATAAGTTTAGGGAAATCTTGATGTTCTTTGGCATCAACTTTATCCAAGATTGTCGGTATAGGATTGAGTTGCCTGATTTGGTCACAAACATTTTCCATAATATGTTCAGGTACCTTATCATCGGGATATAGATATAATTTAGCCATTTGATCAGCTCTGAATGGATTATGTTCACCTCCTCGAAGTGACTTGTACACAGCTTTATAGAAAACAATTGTCGGATCCTTATGATGCAAGTCCCAAGCTGATGCCCAAGTTACAGCGCCTTTACCATAATTGGTGTGATGATAATAAGTTCTCCATTTCCATTCACCAACAGGCATAGATATCTCTGAATTGACCAAACACAAAGAGCAAAGCAGAGTTAGATCAAGAATCAAGAAATTTACAAAGAAAACACTAACCTTTGGTATTAATAACGACAACAACGTCACCCATATCGACACGAGTTGAAGGGTCATAAATTGGCTTGAATTGTCCTTTCAAATATCCAGCAACCAAATCAGCTGAGTAGAAAACATCTTGCCATTTAGCATCATAAAGCATCCATCGACGAGCAAATGTACACCATTGTTGAGTCCGAGCAAACTTGTTCATAATTAAAATTGCAATAAAAATATACTGAAATAATGACAATTTAGTAAATACTATTTACCAACACAAATGCATGAAAAAATCACATGTAAAACCGAAAGGTAAACTACAGATTCCGAGAAACAAGGAATCAAGATATGCTGCCCTCTCAATGACAAAGATTGTACAAAGATATTTTGCTTCTAAAACACAAAAATAGATGTCTCTAGCTTCTTCTAAAGCTTCTCGTTTCAATAAAAGCTTAATAAACTTGATTGAATTAACATATTAGTATATGTTAGATCACTGCAACGAGGGCATTCGTTGTTAAGACTCAAGTTGGAGCCGAGACTTACTTATACTTACAAGGGAAGGTTCACAAACGCTACACTCAGAATTGAATGGTTTAAGGACTAATAGATAGAGCATGTTGACTTATGGAAAAGTGTCATTTACTTCGTTTCGCAAATGTGTTTAAAAGTCACAGGGTGTCAAAGTTGTTTTTCCATAGGTTTATGTGCTTGATACAAGTAATGTGGATCTATGACAAAATTGTAAAATCTGGTTTTTAATATTTCTCAGTGTGTGTACATTGCATCCAATAGGCTTAACCTATGCAAAAATTGATACTTTGACACCCGTGACTTCTGAACGGGGCATTTGCGAAACGAAAGGCTTGATAGAGGTTCATATCTGACCCATTAGAATACTTTGAGGTCAAAATAAATTGAAACCTGGTGTAGCGTTTGGGAACCTTCCCTCGTTAGTCTGATTAACAGGCTGTTAGTCTTGTATTTCCAATCTATTTGTAGCCTTGTGTATCAATATAGCCTTTGCCTTGGACCTTTGTTGCTGTCCATAATTACACATTTTACAAGCTGAATTGTTTACAGGCAAATCCTTTGGTAAATGAAATGGCTAGTTTGAATAGTCAAAACAAAGTGAAATGCAAAATAGTAATTTTAATGAATGGATTGAAAATGCGCCAAAACTAAAGAAACCAAGAGATTAAGGTAAAAATAATAACAACAAAACACCCAACAGAGTTTAAGATAATCTTGTAAAGGTTGACACAAATCTGTTCAATACAATTACTTGTCACTTCACTGTTTTCAATTGAAAAACTAGTAACCTTAAATTATAACTTGAGATACTAACAAGTTTAAATTGTTTAAACAATCAACTTTACTTTAACAGTGACTTTTACAGTTTGGCAAGTTTGAATTTGGCTGACAATTTTGTTGCATCGCAATATAAAATAAATAAAAATAATAAACACTTCATTGATGATATAAAAAACTGACACCAATTACATTTATTAATAGTTTCATTAGCGAGCTGATTATTAACAAAACGCTTTATCAACACAAAACTGTTTTGGCTCATTGAGAATATTAATGTTTCATTTCTTGCCTTTTTTGTGGTGATTATACTCATGGGAAACGGTGTTGATGATCAACATTGATCAATGATCATATCAATTATTGTCAACTTAAATGCTTCGGCATAAATTAACATTCATTGAGATAATCTTTCTTTTGTCTTTTGTTTTCTGTCTTTTCTTCGCTAAACTTTTTCCGAGTTTCTTTACTTTTGAAAAAAAGCTCTTAAAAAAGGTCTAAATGTTTGCGCTTTGGGACTAAACAGCATTTAACACAACGTCAAGTCATTGATCACCTGAGACGCAAAGGTTTTTACAAAGAAATGATCAAACTGATTCTTAATCATTCGAGATTTTCGTTTATTTTGTATTATACTGATCAGGTGGAATAGACCTGAGTAAAGTAACAAAACAATGAAAAGTTAATGGTCTATTTGGTGATTTACAGGTGATTTTGATGGTGTCATTGGTTTAGCTGCAGTTTAATGCACAGATTTTATCAAAATATTTTACAAGAACTGCTCAATGCTGGTAAAGGAGAAGAAATTTGCTTAAAAAATCGTAAAGCACTTTTCGATACCGCCAGCTTATTTAAAGAATTTATTTATTTAATTGTTCAAACTATCATTGTAAATTGTTTTCTCATCGACCACGCTCTTCACGCTTTAAAACTTTTCGAGATAAGCTTTAATAATCGTTCGGCATTGAATTGTAAATTCCTTGTTATTAGTTCGTGCTCAATGCTGAATAAAGTTTCAACTCTTCATGTTGTTAGCTTTCGTCGGTTCTCATCATGTGCCATTCACTCATTTTTCACAAACAATTCATAATTCGATGTTAAATTCTTGTTAAAACCAATAAGTATTTAAGTTAACCTGGCAATATATTTTGTGGTCAGCGTTTGCGGTTTCACTTTAGCTTTATAAAAAGCTAATTAGTCTACCTTTAATACATTCCTTTATGATAATATATTATGGATAATTGGAGCAGAAAAAAGGTTATAAACGTCGGAAAAACGTTGCCAATGTGAATAAGTGTGCAACTTGCAAGGGAAGGGATCTCATGAGGAAAGGGTCGCCACAGAAGCAATACATCATAAGACACTAAATCAGACAAGACATTTTTACTCGTCCAACTTTTTCTCTCTCATTAGACTCATCAGCTCATTCAAAGACCAAGTCTATATACAAAGCTAAAACTGAATTGGAAGATGGGAATCATAATTGACTTAGTCGGAATGGATTCTGTAGTTCAACACAATTGCAAGCTAAGAACTTGCTCAATTCGTCCAAATAATTTCGAAATTAATATTATTCAAGATTATTCAAATGATCATTAATATATATCAATTTATAAACAATTAGTTTGACGACTTATACAATAATCTAAATACAATGTACATACAACTAAAATAATGGCTATTTAGTAAATACTATTTACCAAAATAAATTAGATACCGTAGCTAGTGAAAATTAGCCGACTAGCTAGCCAATCAACTATTTCAGCGAGTCTAGTCGAGGGTTGAATAGCTAAAATGCTTAAGCGACTTATGATTCGTAAGTTATGAAGTTCAAATGCTACCTTTTGTTTAAAAACAGAAGCTTCAGACAATCATTAATGGAAAAATTTGCAAAATTAAGAATAAAAAAGGCTCAAATAATAATTCAAATCAATTCTCTTTGTTTTAAAAACGGTTTAAAAAGTTATGGTTGCATAAAATCGAGCCATAATAGTTTATCATATGGCTCAATATTTTCCCCCTAAAGTCCCCAGAAATTTCAATTTTAGGCTAAAATTATCTGCGCTTAGCCGAGAAACTTGTTTCCGCGCTATTCGGCTAAAGTCGACTTTAGTCACGTTGGCCTTTTAGCCAATTAATAGAGTGTCGGCTAACTACGGTATCTAAAACATCACATGTACCGAACCGAAAGGTGAACTGTCCGAAGATTCCGAGAAACAGTCAAACTATGCTGCCCTCTCACTGAGAAGATTGAAATAAGGATATTTGTTTCTAAAACATAAAAAGAGATGTCTCTAGCTTCTTCTAAAACGTTCAATAAACTTGATTGAAATTCAATCATTGAATTAACATAATAAGCCACAAAGCTATTGAAAGACAATAAAATGAAGAGACAAATATATAAATTTACAAGGAATTAAATTTAATAGTTAATTTATCAATTGCATTGGGTAAATCACTTTTCCAATATGAGCAGGAGGCGGTTGTTGGTGATGATTCTGATGAATAGTTGGGTAAAATTGTACACCGAAAGGGGAAAAAGGCGCAATAGAGTCTCGTACAAAATTAAATTTTTCCTGTTCGGCATCGGCCAATCGTTTATCCTTGGCTCGACGATTTTGAAACCAAATTTTAACTTGAGTTTCGGTTAAGTTTAACGATGAGGAAAAGTCGGCTCGCTCGGCAATCGATAAATATCTTTTACTTCTAAACTTTCTTTCCAACGCAATTAACTGTTGATTTGTAAATGGAGTTCTTGGCTTTCGATTGCTCTTGTGTTTCCGTAACTGACACTTGATTGTCGGATGTTCACGAAACGATGGAAATGCATATGAATGAAGCCATGGATGATGATGTGAATGAGATAGATTAACAGGTGAATTTGTAGGTGAGGTTGAGAGGGTTAATGGTGTTAGTGGTTGAGTTGGTGTTGTTGTTGGTGAGGTTGACTTGTTTGATAAAATTTGATTGATACCGAAAGACAGTGAAGTTGATTTACTTGGTTTAACTTCACTTTTAATTTCAACCAATTTTTCACTATTACAATCAGACATTTTCATTGCTTAGGATAACATAAAAAAACTTGAAACGAAATGACTTTTAACAGGTAAAATGTGCAACTGTACAAGAAAACATAAATATCTGCTTTTTACCTTTCAGTTGAATCTTCAACTGTTATTGGTTGTTGAGTACAATTCAACTTTCCCTTTGCTCTTTACAAGAGTCCGCCTTAAGATGATGAAGATGAGGATGGAGCATTTGGGATGAAGAGAGTAAAGAAAGACCAAGAAAAGTGGGAGACAAGTTTACCTCATTATCGTCTTTTGTTGTCCATCTCTGGATAATTGGAAGATGCAAGTATTTTTACCTTGAAATATTTCGCTTTGAGAAACACCTACAATTTGATGCTCAAATAATGACCAATCAAACAACAGATTAAAATGTTGATGTTTACAGGTCAGTTTGAATAGTCAAAACAAAGTGAAATGCAAAATAGTAATTTTAATGAATGGATTGAAAATGCGCCAAAACTAAAGAAACCAAGAGATTAAGGTAAAAATAATAACAACAAAACACCCAACAGAGTTTAAGATAATCTTGTAAAGGTTGACACAAATCTGTTCAATACTTGTCACTTCACTGTTAAAAAAGGCAACCAAAATATTTACGAAAACATTTGAAACTCATCGTTTACTCATCTTATTATCGTGAAAAATTTCAGATTCAAACTTCTAATAATGAAGACTTGATAATTTGCTCAAAAATTATCAAATAATTTTCAGTATTTCTTGCTACCGATGAATCAATTTTTTCATTTGTCTTTGTTTCGGTCTTTAAATTCAAATGATTAGGAGCAAAGACTTTGACTTTCATGTTAAGAGTAGAAGCTTGAATGGTTTGTATGGACAATACCTGAGTCTAATTGAGCAAATTAAAATTTTCATGATCAACAGTTTTCGATGAAATCGCTTTTAAAGTTCAAATTTAGATTGCTTTTTGTTCAATTATGGAACCAGATTTTTCATCAAACTCATTTTTCTGATGTGGCTTTTGAAGATCAACCAGAATCGCATTATGTTGGAAATAAATTTTCTGTTCCTGTGCAAGAGATCATTTCGACCCTTAAAGAACTGAAACTCATTTTTGATCGATTAAACTAATTGGATTTTCGAATGAGCCATTTCAATGGAAATGACCAAAATTACAAACCATTTGTTGAACACTTTTGGTTCTATCGTGATTATCGCGTCTACAATTGTGATTATCGCGATTATCGCGTGTACTTACTGATCAATATTGACTAAAAGTAATTATCGTTAAAGATCTATCCTTGAATAATGTTGATTAAATAATGAAGTGAAACGATTTACCCAAATGGATAAATGTAAAGTTGTTGTCACCTTATTTGTGAAAACATAAATGTGTCTATAAATTGTGAGTTTGAATTACAAAAGACAGTCCTTGATAGTTATAATGAAAATGATGATTTCCAGTTGCAATAACAACAGATTTCATTGTATTTTCAAGTGAATGAAACATTTTGCTTTATTAAATAACCGTTTCATTGTTAACTGTCTGTTTCTTTTGGCACTTAACTCTCTTATTAGTCTTGCATTGAGACACAAAAATGTTGTTTTGATTATCAAAAATTGTCTTCCATTCGTCTTCGTCTTTCTAGTCATTCTTTGAGTTACAACAAAAAGGACAGTTTCTTTATCATCTCCATCCTCATCATCATCATCCTTTTCACGGTAAACCATTTAATTTAAATAATAGCTACCATTATTAGTTACACACTGGCTCAATAGACAACAAGATAACAACTACAAGTACAACATATAACAACAAGGTAGCTCAACATGATAGACCGGGGACTCATCTTCATGAAAGGCAACACGGTTTATATTGGGACAGTTTAACGTTTAACTAATAGGTAAAGGAAAGAGATGGGAAAAGGGAAAAAAGAAGAAGACGAACAAGAAAGAAAGGAAAAGATGAGAATAAGATGATGGAGAGAAGAAGAGGGGAAGAAAAGGTAAAGGCAATGTTGAGTGATTCCGTTGGAGACAATTTATCTAGTACAATTAACGTCAACAAGGCTGGGTGAAGATGAAAGACTGACGATCCTTTTTGTAATCTAACAACAAAAAAGATACATTAGAAACCAAGTGGACTTGACTATTCTATCGATTGGTTCCGTTCGGTTAAACTTTAAAGATGAATGGAATGGACCAGGACAATAGGTGATTAACTTGATTGCCTGATGTTTACAACAAAATGTCATCTTTACTTGTATGAATAATCATTACTTTGGTAGGCATCTGAGCCTAATTTACACTTTGATCTGGAAAGTTGATTAAAACAAAAATTGTTCAACTTATTACTTGACAAATGAAGTTTGAATAGTCCAAAGTTTTACAAAAAGAAAGTGTAAAAATGTTTAGGTTTGAGCCATTTTCACAATTAACGATTCTTCAAATTAAGTATGGATATCGGATAAACTAATAAATTAAATAATACGTTCATGTGCAAAAGTAAAAGAATAGAGTTTAAGTTTCGTGATTTTTGAGTGCAGGCGACTCTCATTGATCTTTAATTTTTTGCTAAACGTAAGGGAACGGCTAAACGAGTAAAGAAGGAAAAAATGTTGCAATGAAAACCTTAAATGGATCTTGAATGGACCTTGCATCTTGGATTTAGGTCTGTTGGAATCAGGTTATTACACTGATTATCAGTCTAAAGTTATTGAACGATTGCTCAAAATCGAGAAATTATATTTCAATAGCAATGGCATCATCAATTAAACTCTAATTAGATCGTTTAAAGAAACATGCGATGTGAATTGCTTAGCATCGCTCTTTGTTGTCATTGAAATTTACTGATTTAATGAACGAATCAATTGACGGTCAGTGCGATGTTTAGTGTTCTAACGATCTCTTTGAATAAGATGAATATCGGAACAAGTTAAGACTGAAGATTTTTCAATTTTTATACCAAACATGTTTTAGTTGAATGAACATTGAGTTTTGGAAAACCGTTTAACAAAGTTTGGGGCTATGAGCGATTCTAATGACAACCTTATTTCAGTCAAAAGCAATACTCTTTGATCGAATATTGTTTTTCAGATTTTCGCGAATTCATTCTAAGGATTTCCTTGTAGCGCCCATTAACCTTACAATTCAACCAAAGTTTCATGTATTTTTAGGTCTATTTTAAATGCTCTGATTTTCAGAATGGTGAAGTTTGTTATTATTTATGCTTCAAATGAATATACAAGTAATCAAAGTTTGCTTTTAGTAACATCGAAATCTCAGCAAAATTGTTCTAAATTGAATGGCAAGTTTTTGCTTTTTAATTAACCATTAATCGCGCTATAAATCTTGACCTGTTTATTCAAATGTCTCTCGATACTCAATTGCTTTGACCAAATGTTTTTGTAATTACAAAGAGAAATGAGAAAGTCAATTACATGTCAGGTGAAATAGTATCCTTGACTGTAAAGGTAGGAATAAAGGTGAAACGAATGGAGTGAATGTACAAAAAGATGTGAAAATAATATAAAAGTGGGTTCAACAATTAATGATTGTTGCTTGTAAAAAACCCATCTAAACACCCATAAAGTACAATATAATGGCAACAATGGAGGAATCACTCTTAACTTGATATTGGTCAATATGGTAACAAAGCGGGTAATATTTCACTTCTTTCCCGTTGCCACTCCAAGAGCGTTAAATTAATCGTCCATCAGTTTAGTCTTGTTCAGTGCTTTTATCTGTCAAAAGATGAAGAGGAAGAATGAGAAAAAGAGAGTCGAGAAAAGTTGTCCTTTTGACTTTTCTCGATCATCATCTTCTTCTTTTCAATAATGTTTACCATAGCATAACTAAAATGAACTCGAGTAAGTGAGATCCTATTATTGTATTGTTATTGTTCAATGAAAAGGCATTGGCACTTCATGAAATTGAATAGACATAAAGAGCTAGACTCGAAATGATTATTATTATACATTTTGTTATTGTTATCATCATTATTATTGAAGGACTAAAGTATCACCGATTCAACTTGAACCTTTCCTTTGGCCGTTTCTATTTAATTGAATAATCCATTATGCTTATTACTGGCGTGCGTTTTTTTCTTGAGCAGCCAACATCTGAAGCGAGTGATTTAACATCAATATCAACTGATGTTGCGGCAATGTTGACTAGTCAAGAGACGAGCTTTGACTTTCTGATTTAGCCGATTATTGGTTAAAAAATTGTTGCTCATTTCAACCTTTCATCGCCTTCATCCTTTCAAAACCCGTTTCATTTGACTTTAGTTTTCCAATCGTTTTTCATTCATCTTTGGCTGTGGACTTTTGAAGCAAATTTGGTTGCTTTTTTGATCATTTTTTAAACATCAAATCGTCCTTTCTTCGTTGCCAAGATCGAAGCCATAAAAAGTTGAAATGAGCAACAATTTTTCTTCCAATAAGCAGCTGAGCCAGAGCTTGTTCCTTCATCAGTCAACATTGTCGTAAGACAATATTCAAAAGTCAAGAACCTAAAGTGTTCTTCCCTCTATCTGCTCTAGTAACGTCTATGATAATGGTTTTTGCTCTTTTAATTAAACTTGTTCATTCTGTCTGTGAATTTCAGTCACTTTGTTGTCATTAAGTGTGCAAAATTGACATTTAACCATGAAATACTTTGCTAGAAAAGCGCACATGAAATAATTTCAAACACAATTTCATCATTATCTGCGTGTCTTTGACAAACTCAATACTGATTATCCTTTGCCTTCGAGATGAAGGGTTAAGAAACACACGCATAGTTGTTTAAGGAAAGCAAAAGGTCAATAATAAGCTACAAACAAGGAGGATGAAGGCAAGTTGGAAACAAGGGAAAGTTGAAAGAGTTACTTCAATGTAAATACAGGTTTAAACAGGTAATCAAGAAGTCGGTGTTTTTGTACACTTTACCACCACTTTTTTTCGCAGCTCAACTCTGCCCAATTTGCCATGCATTTTAATGATAGAGAGCACATAATGATAATTATAATATCATGATCATGGTATTAATAATAAACGCAAATGATACAAGCGAAAATGGTTTCAACAAAAGCAACGGCCAAAACAAAACTAACAAATGATGTTGAGAAAAGAGTTTGGCCTTTTCTTTACTAACAACATCGCTGCTAATTACATTGACTGGGCGACATTCAGACTACTGGTTATTCAGTCCGCAACGATCAAACTAAAACGAAAAGAGAAAGAGAAGAGAAAAAAGATGAGAAAAACTTTAACCTTTTTACGTGGAAAAACAAATTCTGACCTTTTCATTATCTATTAATATGACGATAGTCAACTGATGGCCTTAGGTATGAAAACGGACAATTGAGACAAAAATGTTTCTCTGTTTTTTGCTTGTTGACGCCAATTACCAACTCTAATTCAGTATTGAACATTTAAAGGTAAAACCGAGGGCTGACCTAAAGATTTGATTCGATTCATTGAAATTGAACTTTGTTTTATCACGACAATACTTGATATCGATGCCATTATTACAATAGTTGGAACCCAATTTATTTGACAGAGACACAAATAACAACAAACAATAACGTGTAAAGGGTCATTCGGTAATTAAAGGAGTGGCCTTTGGTCAATCATTAGTTTTCAACGAAATTGATTCTTTCTTTATGTTTCTTCTTCTTTCCTTTCGAACACTTTATTTCCTTGTTTCTTTTTTCCTTTCTTTCCTCTTGTCCTTTTCACTGTACCTTTACTCGCTTTCAGCTTAATTACTTTCGTAAGGTAAAGTTACTTTTGGTAGCTCAATAAATGCTTTTCTGGATAACTTTTCAAACTATTGTTAATAGATTACAATAACATTGAGAGGAAAGAAGAAGCTGATGATGAGGATGAAGAGGATGAAAAGAAGAAAGATGAAGCAGTCATAAATCTGACATTGATAAAGTCAAGTTCATTGAATTGTTAACCACGTTCAAAGTGCGAACAAGCTACCGATTCCTTCTTTTTTCTTATCTTTTCGCTTCTCTCTTTTTACCTTAATGTTTTTTACTTACTTTTTTGGTCACCAAATTGCCTTTACTCAATCAACTTTCAAATGCAATAAAAGGTTTTCATTGAAAGAAAAACGTTTCGCTTTTCCGTTTCATTGATTCCAATTAACTAACTAATTAACTGGTTGTTTTGCAAATCATCAGGAATCAATAAACTTTCTTGAATAATGTTCATTAATCAAATAATTTCATTTCACCAAAAGCCAACTCCAAATTTCGGGTTTACTAATTTTTCGGTAAATTTTATTCCAAAATTTTGATTCAAATTTTTAGTAAATTTTTGCCGACAAAGTTTTCGCCTTTTAGAAATTTGAAGCCAAGAAAGTTCTTGCGTGTAAAACTGCTGAAATCAGAAACCTTTAAAGTCGAAAATTTTCATTCGATTTTCAAAGATTCCAAATTTGAAACATTCTGTTAAGAAAGAAATGTTTAAGGCCATTCGTTAAAATCAAGATAATTGTCGAAGAATCGAACATGTGCTCGATCACTGATGTCAACAATAGGAAATAAGTTTAAGCCTTAACTTTTGTCACTCGCAGTGATATGCTTAATTGAAAATTAGATTGAAACAGAAAATTTTATTAACTGATTAAGTGCGTTTTTCGGTTGATCATCAAAATTTACATCAAAAAAATGAGTTTCATGAAAAAATCTGGTTCCAAATTTGTATAAAAAGAGATCGAAACTAGAATTTTGAAAGCGATTTACTTTTAACTTTCAAGGTTTTGTTATTTCTCTCAAATTGAAACCCTCGATCAATACGATTCCACAAATTTTCGGATCATTTTTGGCCGTTTCCGATTTGATCAGCTTCAATTTTGAAACTTGCAATCTCAGTTTTTATCTATTACTTTATTTAACGATAGGATAATTGGATAATAAATGGACGTAAAATTTTTCGAAGGAAAAAGTGGATCGCAAACACTTGAGCTTGTTATCCAAATTGTTATCACATTATTTCTTTACATTTCTTATTACATTATTTATTTAAAGTGAACAATGGACGAACAAGATGAATAAAGTTTACCATTAAAACTGTCACTCTTCATATTAACTGTATCAATTTGATATCTAATAGCCCTGGGAGTTGCATCTCCCCTTTGGCCTTTATGTCAATAGTGAAAGAGAATGCGAACAAAAAAAGAAAGAGTCGACAAAATAATTGGTCCATTTAATGAAAATGCATCCAATGATTGGGTCAAACTAGAACTGTGTGATTATCGATTTTCCTAATCGACTTTCATTCGATATTGATCGATACTTTTTCCTCTCTTTTTCATGTACCTTTCTAGCTCCCTCCTCATTGAGGCGGATGATGGTTGAGGAGGAGCCAAGTTGAGTGCAAACCAATAACAGTGAATTTACAATTCAATGTAAAACGATGTTCAACTAAAAAGTTTGTTCATTTCATTTCGAGTTGCTTCTTACACAGTGACTATAACATGTCATTTATTTAATGTTATTTCATTGAATCTCATTGAAGACAAAATATTGTTTGTGAAAATGTCAGACTCTAGCAGTGAAAAGATGGTCAACATCAAAAGTGAAGTGAAAACTGAAGTAAAAAGTGATGTGAAATCAAGTACTTTTAATCCCATCTTTGAATCGCCCTTTTGCATGGAAAGAATTTTAGAGAAAAAAGTTAAAAAGTCGCCAACACCGACCTTACCGACCTTACCGACACCGAGCTCACCACCAGCTAAACCAATGACACCATCAAGTCCATCAATATCACCAGCACAATCACCTGTTCATTTACCTCATCAACATCACCATCCTTGGCTCAAGCCTTTTGCATTTACATCTTTCTGTGAACCTCCAGCAATCAAATGTCAATTAAGGAAACACAAGAGTAATCGAAAGCCGAGAACGCCCTTTACTACTCAACAGTTACTAGCACTGGAAAGAAAGTTTCAGTCGAAACAATATTTATCAATCGCCGAAAGAGCAGACTTTTCAACATCTTTAAACTTAACGGAAACTCAGGTTAAAATTTGGTTTCAAAATAGAAGGGCCAAGGAAAAGAGGTTAAAAGAAGCCGAATTGGAAAAGTTTAATTTCTCTCGAAGTGCACCCTTCGCCACTTTTGGTTTACAATTTTATCCCGCTTTCCAACAACACCAACTCCAATCTCCACCTCCAGCTCATATTGTAAAATTTGGTCATCCAACGCAATTCATCAATCGACAAAATTTATTAACTAAATAAATAATCATTTAAATATATTCAATATTTATTCTCAACTATTAACCAAAAATGACACTTTTTGATTCAAAATGCAATATCAAGTTTTGAAATTTTACTCCTTTTCTTGATTGTTAGCTTTTAGCAAAAATAAAGCCAAATATCAGAAACAAAACACCGAAACGAAACTCATTCAAAAACCTCAGCAACAATGAAATGAAACAAAAAATCGTGTTCTAATAATCATTTTGAAGTATCACATGTAATTGTTTTATAATTGAAAAGAGTTTGGATGTTGTACATCGGCTTTTAATTCACTAATAGAGCTTCGAAGTAGAGTTGAGGAAAGAGCGAGAATTGTTGAACTTTTGACATAGAATAGGATATTATCGGACAAAATTGACTGAACCTTAAAGTTGATCATCTCTTCATTGGCCATTTTGATGATGAGTTTGATTCATTTCTATGCCGATCTTTTCAATTTGACAAAAAGATATTTTCATTTTTGTTCATTTTTTGACAAAATCAATTCAAGCGCTTCTAAAACTTACGAATTCAAATCAAAATTTAACCTCACAGAATGTGATGGATCGCGAAGCTATCGATAGCCACATTTGTAACAATAGTAACTTGATATTTACGCCTACAATTAAAGCCTTCAGCACTTGAGCTCATTATATAATAAATCATGTTTCGATTTTTTATCTAAGGTTTGGGCTTCAATTTTTATCGGGTGAAGACTTTTGTTTCTTGTAGAGTTTGTTTGAAGATGAAACAGTGTTGGGAATCGAAGTTGGTTTACTTTAATTGTTGCAAAAATTGCGATAATTTTACTCTTTTTTGCATTATTGTAGTTGCTAATTGTGAAAATATGTTTATTTTGAGTGTCCGACAATTGAGAACTCAGAAGAAGAGAATCATCAATAATGATTATAATTAGCTATCATCAACCTAATCATTACCATTATACTGTACATACTCATTAACATCATTTTGACGCACAAAAAAGGTATCAATGAGCTGTAATGGGATGAAAAAAACTTTCACTTTTTAGCGTTAAAACTTTTTTACTCCAATCGAATCAATTTCTCGTTTCTAATTAACCTTAATTAACCCAATTGACCATTAATAACCAACATTTACCTTAACCAAGCCCAAGTTAACCTTCTAAGGGTACTTTAACAATCATCATTAAATAAGAGTGAAAGTTTTCCTTTCTTTTCCAGTCAACAAGCGACTATTTATTTGACCAAATAACAATGCGCAGTTTACATAAATTACCTTAAAAATCGTTTTCTTCTCTAGAATTAGTCGTTTTGGGCAGAAAAACAAGGAATAACAAATGAATATTCTGATTGAATCAACATGTTTAATGATAGATGAAGTGACAAAAGATGGTTCGATTTGACATTTATTGGCTTTACAAGATCTTTTGGTTAAGTGAACGAGTTTGAGTGAAATGAAAAATACTGGTTTTAATGAATGGATTGAAAGCACGGCAAACATTCATTGATGATTTGAGCGTAAAACAACGTAAAAAGGTTGAAGTGTAAAAATTTATATACCGATCTTGCCCATTGATCAATCAGCATTTAAGTCAAAACCAATGGGTTGTTGAAGCTTGTCTTGAAATCGTGAGTTACTTTCCAATTGGATTTGAAAAGTCATCAGAAAATAGTGAAAATTGAATTCTTTTCTGTTTTTGACCTTTTACCGTTTTCAAGTCAAGAGGATAAAGATGAAATGATTAGAGAGTTAAAAGGTAAAGATATTAGGTGAAATTGAAACCTGGAATTTAGAAGAGAGAACAACAGAGAAAACTCTTTTTCTGTTATTTGCTTTTGTCAATGATTGAAGTCGCAAACGTTTAACTCTTTTAATCATTTTCCTGACTTGAAGTATTTCCAATCTATTTGTAAGATTAACTTAAATTGAAAATTAACATTAGAATGGTGGCGATAATTCCAAATATATCAAAGAGCAAGCAAAACTTCATAACAATATCGACCAAAATAATTTCAAAATTCATGTAAATCTAAATAATTTTAAGCAATTAGTCGAGGTTCTAAAACGTCAAAGGAATTAAGAAAATGGAATTGACAAAAATTCCAATATTCAAAAGGAAAACTCTAACCAAAACTCTGTACTTTGCACATGAGTGTATCTCATTGCCTTTCCTCATTGAGGCGGATGATGGTTGAGGTGGAGCCAAATTGAGTTCAGACCAATAACAGTGAATTTACAATTCAATGTAAAACTGTGTTCAACTAAAAAGTTTGTTCATTTCATTTGGAGTCAGTAACAACTATAATTTAATGTTATTTATTTAACTTTATTAGTTTATTAAACAATACATTTTTGTGGAAACAAAAAAATGTCCGATGTAAATGGTAAAAAAATGGTTCAAAAAAGTATGAAAAGTGAAGTGAAAACTGAAGTGAAAAGTGACCAACATAAATCTTTCAATCCCGTTTTCACATCGCCCTTTTGCATGGAAAGAATTTTAGAGAAAAAAAGTAAAAAGTCAACACCAACACCTCCACCTAAACCGATGACACCATTAAGCCCCTCGATATCACCAGCACAATCACCTGTTCATTTACCTCATCAACATCACCATCCTTGGCTCAAGCCTTTTGCATTTACATCTTTCTGTGAACCTCCAGCAATCAAATGTCAATTAAGGAAACACAAGAGTAATCGAAAGCCGAGAACGCCCTTTACTACTCAACAGTTACTAGCACTGGAAAGAAAGTTTCAGTCGAAACAGTATTTATCAATCGCCGAAAGAGCAGACTTTTCAACATCTTTAAACTTAACGGAAACTCAGGTTAAAATTTGGTTTCAAAATAGAAGGGCCAAGGAAAAGAGATTAAAAGATGCCGAAGTGGAAAAGTTCAATTTCACTCGAAGTGTGCCCTTTTCCACCTTTGGTTTACAATTTTATCCCGCATTCCATCAACACCAATCACCTACGCCAGCTCACATCGCTAAACTTGTTTATCCAACGCAATTGATTAACCGATAAATTAACGTAATAACTATTAATAAATAAATCATTAACTTTTCATTTTTTGTTAACTTCTCATTGCTTTGTTACTTTGCTCAGGTCCATTCCACCTGATCAGTAAAATACAAAATAAACGAAAATCTCGAATGATTAAGAATTAGTTTGATTATTTCTTCGTAAAACCTTTGCGTCTCAGGTGATCAATGACTTGAAGTTGTGTTAAATGCTGTTTAGTCCCAAAGCGCAAACATTTAGACCTTTTTTGAAGATCTTTTTTTTCTAAAAACTGAAGAAACTTTGAAGAAAAGAAAAGACAAAAGAAAGATTATCTCAATGAATGTTAATTTATGCCGAAGCATTTAAGTTGACAATAATTGATATGATCATTGATCAATGTTGATCATCAACACCGTTTCCCATGAGTATAATCACCACAAAAAAGGCAAGAAATGAAACATTAATATTCTCAATGAGCCAAAACAGTTTTGTGATGATAAAGCGTTTTGTAAATAATCAGTTCGCTAATGAAACTATTAATAAATGTAATTGGTGCCAGTTTTTTATATCTAAAATGAAGTGTTTATTATTTTTATTTATATTGCGATGCAACAAAATTGTCAGCCAAATTCAAACTTGCCAAACTGTAAAAGTCACTAAAAGACCTGAACTGAGCATGAAAGAGCCCATCGTCGAATTGAAACAAAAACAAAAGGCAACATGGTCATTCAAGGTCACGCGTTGTAAGCTGAATTTATAAAACTCAGTGACATCTATCTTAGTGATGAACACTAGATGAAAACTCTTACGTCACTAACGCTCCTATTTTGGCGAACGATCGTCTGGCCTAGTTAATAGCCCTAACGGAATCATGTCATACCCATACAAATCCCATCTCATAACTAAAAAGATTTTTCTGTGCTCTTTTTGATCAAACATTAGCCTTTGATAATCATTTCAAGCGAAGCATTGATTTCGATTTCGAGATTTATTTTATCGTGAACTTGGGTTTTCACTATAAAATGAGTACTAAAGTTAAGATGCTTGTTTGTCAATTTAAATGTGTTGCTATTTCAAGCTGTGATTTAAGGTTACTTTTTGAGGTTTGATTTCACTGTATTGTCTGCACTAAAACAGTGGAGTGACGGCGTAATTGTATTGACCAGATTTGTGTCAACCTTTACAAGATTATCTTAACTCTGTTGGGTGTTTTGTTGTTATTATTTTTACCTTAATCTCTTGCTTTCTCTAGTTTTGGCGCATTTTCAATCCATTCATTAAAATTACTATTTTTGCATTTCACTTTGTTTTGACTATTCAAACTAGCCATTTCATTTACCAAAGGATTTGCTTGTAAACAATAAAATGTGTAATTATGGACAACAACAAAGGTCCAAACCTAAGGCAAAGGCTAACTTGCTGTCGATTCATTTGGAATTATCGCCACCATTCTAATGTTAATTTTCAATTTAAGTTAATCTTACAAATAGATTGGAAATACTTCAAGTCAGGAAAATGATTAAAAGAGTTAAACGTTTGCGACTTCAATCATTGACAAAAGCAAATAACAAGAAAAAGGGTTTTCTCTGTTGTTCTCTCTTCTAAATTCCAGGTTTCAATTTCACCTAATATCTTTACCTTTTAACTCTCTAATCATTTCAACTTTATCCTCTTGACTTAGCTCTTAGAATTGAAATTGATAGCTCGGCTCAAGATGAAAGCAACAAAAGATGTGTCAATGTGACTAGCTGTGAATATCATTAGAGTTTCAATATTAGCACACTTGTTTGATACTTTTAATGATTGAGATTCTGGACTTGAAGGAATCAAATTAGGAAGGTTCATTGATTGGCTGAAAAAGGTCACTCGAAGTTTGAGCTTTGTATATAGACTTAGTCTTTGAATGAGCTGATGAGTCTAATGAGAGTGAAAAAGTTGGACGGGTAAAAATGTCTTGTCTGATTTAGTGTCTTATGATGTATTGCTTCTGTGGCGACCCTTTCCTCATGAGATCCCTTCCCTTGCAAGTTGCACACTTATTCACATTGGCAACGTTTTTCCGACGTTTATAACCTTTTTTCTGCTCCAATTATCCATAATATATTATCATAAAGGAATGTATTAAAGGTAAACTAATTAGCTTTTTATAAAGCTAAAGTGAAACCGCAAACGCTGACCACAAAATATATTGCCAGGTTAACTTAAATACTTATTGGTTTTAACAAGAATTTAACATCGAATTATGAATTGTCTGTGAAAAATGTTGAGTGAATGGCACATGATGAGAACCAGTTTGAGTGAATGAACCCACATGGAACCAAAGTTTTGTGAATATCATTCGGCAGAAGATAACCCAACGAAAGCTAACAATTGTTTCAGCCTTTACTCAATCAACTTTCAAATGCAATAAAAGGTTTCCATTGAAAGAAAAACGTTTCGCTTTTCCGTTCCATTGATTCCAATTAACTAATTAACTGGTTTCAAATCATAAAGAATCAATCAATTGCCTATAAGCAGAATAATTTTCATTAATTAAATAATTAAATTTCACCAAAAGTTACTCGAACTTTTGGTTTTAATGATTTCGGTAAGTTTTATTCCAAAATTTTTGCCCGAATATGTAAATGAGTGAATTTTTACCAAAATCAACATGATGGATTTTAATATTGCAATAATTTAACACATGATCCTTAGCTTGAGTCTTTTTATGAAATCATTTTTTAAATCTTCAGCACTAAAAGTCACTTGAAGAAACACAAAGGCAATCGAAAGCTGAAAACTACATTTACAACTAAACGATTATTAGCAATGGGAGGGATTTTCATCATTTATTATTCACCGAATTCGGTTTGAAATTGAAAGCAAACTTGAAAGGCTAGGATTCAGTTTCAAAAGCCAAGTTTTGATGAGTCGAAGAAAAGAGATTTAAAGATGCCGAAGTTGAAGTTTATTTCATTCGAGGCTGGCTCATTTGGTTAATTTTATCTCGCTTTACAACAACACAAATCCAGCCTCTCGAAACTTGTCTATTGGTAATGAAATCGGTGCAAGTTTCCGTGCATATTAGCACAGTGCTTATTATGCTATAAGCATGAGTGTATGGACGTGACATTAAAATAGATGAAGTTGATAAGTCTTTACATTGCAATGAGCTGTAATTGATTCTTCTTGAGTAAAATCTATAGGAATAGTGCACCTTGATCGAATAGTAATAGTGCTTGAAGCAAATATTATAAACCCACTTATAATCACTGTACGGAAGTTTGGTAAATAGTCTTAAGAACTGAATGAATAAACCAGTAAATTTTTGGTTACTTTCCATTGTCTTTTTACTTTGATCTGGTCGTTTCAGGGTGAGTCGTTACCTCTTTAACACCGTTTAGTTTCACCGCTTAGCCATTTAATGCACAGATAGAGAGTTGTCCCAAAACACACATTACCAAACTATTTTTAGGCCTTTTGCTTTGAAAAGGTTAAAAAAAGTTGAGCGAAGAAAAAGCAGGAGACAAAAGACAAAAAGAAAGATTATCTTAAGATGTTAAAGCATTTAAGTTGACAATAATTGATATGATCATTGATCAATGTTGATCATCAACACCGTTTCCCATGAGTATAATCACCACAAAAAAGGCAAGAAATGAAACATTAATATTCTCAATGAGCCAAAACAGTTTTGTGATGATAAAGTGTTTTGTAAATAATCAGCTCGCTAATGAAACTATTAATAAATGTAATTGGTGCCAGTTTTTATATTTAAAATGAAATGTTTATTATTTTTATTTATATTACGATGCAAAAAAATTGTCAGCCAAATTCAAACTTGCCAAACTGTAAAAGTCACTGTTAAAGTAAAGTTGATTGTTTAAACAATTTAAACTTGTTAGTATCTCAACTTATAATTTAAGGTTACTAGTTTTTCAATTGAAAACAGTGAAGTGACAAGTAATTGTATTGAAAAGATTTGTGTCAACCTTTACAAGATTATCTTAAACTCTGTTGGGTGTTTTGTTGTTATTATTTTTACCTTAATCTCTTGCTTTCTTTAGTTTTGGCGCATTTTCAATGCATTCATTAAAATTACTATTTTGCATTTCACTTTGTTTTGACTATTCAAACTAGCCATTTCATTTAACCAAAGGATTTGCTTGTAAACAATCACCAACTTTCCCGAAAACTGAATTCCCAAAAAAACTCAAAAACTTTTTTTGACTTTAAACCTCATTACATTCAGAATATTAAGTTGTGAAAAGGGAAAAAAGTTGATCCAAATTTCGCTTAAAAAATCAACGAACTCACTTCGAATTTCAATTTGTTTCCGAAAGCAGTGAAAATCGGCTAAAATAATGTTAAATAAAATCTTCTTGAACCGATTTAATGATTTAAATCTGTTCAACTAAATGCAAACAATCTCAGAAATCAATTAATCGCTGCTAACTTGTGGTCAAAAAATTGCAATGATTATGGACATTATCATGGTAATAAAATGATGAATAAATAAATTGACCAATCTGTTTACATGGATTGTAACAAAATATTGAATCTCAAATAATATAATAATAAAAATAATGACTTGATTGTTTACAGTTAACTGACAGATTATCACAAGCTTGTTTAATCAAAGTATTAGGAGAGAAGAAAGAAGAAACAGAAAAAAAGGAAAACGAGAATAATATTAGTTTAGCAATTTTCCGATTCTGTCAAAGTTTCTTTTCCTTCGATTGCTCAAAACGATAGCGATAAATTTATTCCGATTGATTGGTGTGATAGCAGTCAAGTCGAAACAAAACGCAGTAAAACGTAAAGCTAATGAAACTGGTTGAGCAGAAAAAGAAAAGAAGAAGAAAAAAATGATTGACTTGTTTATCCTTCTCGAGTTGAAATAATAAGGTTGATAAAAGTGCATTAATATGATAATAAAACAGATTGACCAAAGTATTTAGGAATCAATTTAAATGATTGCGGTCTTGTCAGCCAGGGATGATGATGATGATCCACATAAAAGGCTGATGAAAATGTGGGAATCAAACATGAGATAAGATATCAAGTTATGAAGAGAAGAGAGAAAAGAGAGGAA